TTGAAACAAAAGGGCCAGCAACATGCAATGAATCCCCCCCCTCACATTTTGTTGACTTGGGATTTAATTACGAGTTTGTTAGCGATCTATTCAAGACAGACACTGTAGCGTCCCCGGCTAATAGATGCTCGGACTCTTTTACTGATGGTTCATATCCTTTTTATTCGAACGGTATCATACGAACTCACCGTAAGAGCTAAAAGAAATTGAAAAATGAAAAATACAATTACGTTTAAACTTTACAGACAAATTACCGTGTTATCTTAGATAAAAATAGATCGGAAAAATATTAACACTCGATACCGCAAACACACTTTACTTATTTAAAACATTAATAAAACTTAATAAAACCGGACACAATATAATACAAAAAACAATACAAACCTTGTGCCCTTTTACCCAGGAGCTAATACCTTTTAAATAACCTTTTTGAGACTTTGATATATCGACCGTTTTTATTCCAACGTTTTTTCAACGTTCCTCGACAGTCCCGAGGTTTCACGAGAGCCCTTCAAAATAAAACGCTTTGTTCAAACATAAAGAAATATTCATCTAACCTCGTAATTTTACAACACAAATTACACAAGAAATAAGAACAACAACTTAGATTACATTAAATGTAATCTACAGACACCATATAAAAGTTTATAATTTAAGTATAAGCATCACAAACCTCTAAACGTCCATTAAGGTAAACACTGATCCCATAAAGGGGTTGCGGGGGGGCTGGAGCCTATCCCAGTAGCCAATGGGGAGAGGCGGGGTCACCCTGGACGATAGCATCACAAACATCATTAATTAATTTACCAAATGCTTCAGACACCAAAGCCAGAGTCCCATTAGAATCCCACTGTACGGTTTATATTTACTGACCACTAGATGGCGCAACAAAGCAAATGAAGCCCCCTGAAGCTTCAACACACGAGTGGAACGCTTCAGTTTTATCAAGCTTCATCTCACCATCACTACCTTTAGAACCCCCCCAGGTTCAGGTATTTCCTGACCGGTCAGTGCTTTTAAAACTGCTGCCTGGACTGTTGACCACCAAACAAACTGACCACCACGGGGGACCGTCCACCTTCGGTTCAGTCTGCAGGCCTAAGACTTCCTGTCCAGTCTGGGGTCCGGTCATCTACGGGTGCCTGATGGGTCGTTGGGTTTTCCAGAGATGAATAAGAGAAAACACGATCTCTGTCCTCTGTAAAGAGGGGGGGGGGGGGGGGGGGGGGGGACAAAAGGGGGCAGCTCTAGTTCCTCTGAGTCCGACTATGTTGACCATTTTGTTTTTCTGTTCACAAAGAACACGGCCGCTCGTTTTCATAAGATTATGTTCAAACCGGTTCAAATCTCTTTAGCTGCAACAGTCAAACCTGTTCACAATCAAACTAGAAATGATTGCTTAAAAATACGTTGAACAACATATATATATATATACACACACATATATTTATTTATTTATTTATTTATTTATTTACTTTTTGGGATGAATAGAGTTTCGCTTCATTAAAGTTCATAGAAACTTTGTTCATGCCCATGTTGAAATAATAAAAATACATTTAGATCATTCATAAGAAGGCATCCATGAGTATTAAAAAGTAAATATATGCTCATGAAAAACATTTACATGAGATGCAATTAATAACAACTTTATTCATCACCAGTGGGGACATTTAAACCTTAAAGTAGCTTAAATTGAGATAATTACAGTGTTTGTTTGGTTTTTTTGGATTAGAGAAGATAAATTCATAATAATAATCACCAGAGAAGAACTGTGAGATGTTTTGAACTTCTCCTGGACCCTCCTGAACCTCTGGGTCCGGTCCCTGATGTAGAACAGCAGAACTGGCCTTTTGGACCACTGAATGTCCATCACCACCCGCTTGTTTTGTGATTTCAGTCCGCGCCACAGACAAGAGGATTTCCTGTGAAGAGGAGTTCTCCGACTCTGAGGACGAGGGGGAGGGAGGCCGCAGAAACTCGGCCAGTCACAAGAAGGGGGCCAAGAGGCCAAAGGTGGAGGAAGAGCAGAAGGAGGAGGAGGAGAAGAAAGCTGGTCGGTAACTTTGGATCTGCATCCGAGCTGAAGGGTTTTGAAATGAAATAATTTCATTTTACAAGGTTGTTCTTCCCCTCCTAACCCAGAAATAAAAGAGGAAGACAAGACGAAGGACAGCGGCTCTGAGAAGACAGATTTAAAGAGGTAAGTTCTGTTTCTGAGTGTCTTTAGACCAGTGTTTTTCACCCTTTTTGAGCCGAGGTACATTTTTTCATTTAAATAATCCCGAGGCACACCACCAACCAAAAATGTCAAACAAATCTGTAGCCGCCTATAGTAACACTATAGTCATTCTTATCTTATTCTTATCTTATCTTAAGTGTCTTGAATAGGAATCAAATAAACACAAAAATGTATTTTTATCATATTTTGTATTTCTTCTTTCAAATTGCTCTTAACATGTCCACTTCAATATACAAAATTTTATACAAAATCATAAGGAATTATTACATGATTACTCCACCAGTCACTAGAACAGCACACACACTCAAAAATGGCATATTATTTGCAGAAAATTAATTACTTATCAAAAAGTATTTTTAGACCAATTAGGTGAAATAGGATGATTTTCTACGGCACACCTGACCATCACTAACGGCACACTAGTGTACCGAGGACCAGGGGTTGAAAAACACTGCTTTAGAGTCTGATGATGCGCTTTTACTCGCTCTCCTCTTCCCTCTTTCTCTCCCTCATCTTGGGTCCTGCTCCAGATGACTCTAAACTCTAACCTTCCCTGGATGTGGGGAGGCTAACGATGGCTACCGTTTTACACTTAACTGCTTTTGGTTTTCCCCCAGTACTGTAAAGACGGAGCAGAGCAGCAGCACCTGAAGGCCACACGGGCAGCTAGAAGATACCGTTCTCCGGAAGGATCCGGCCCTCCTCTGAGACGCTCTCCCCATTATTCTATTTATTATGAGTCTCCATTTTCTACCTGTAAATCTGTGAATTGTGCCCTGTCAGCACCTGCTACTTGATTAGTTTTTTCTACGTTACATCCTTTGATCTTTTTAAACCAATGTTTCCAATGTGCTGAATCTTCTGAAGGAAACATGACCTGATTTGTTATAGGAGATTGTGAGTGAATCCATAGAAGAATTTTGATATTTTGCATTTACCAATAAAACTTTTTATACTCTTTCCATGAGACGTGCGTTTGGTTTGAACCCCTCGGAGCTGTGATGGAAAGCTCCAGCCACTTGGTGGTGCCCTGAACTCAACCAGGCCGGGACCAGAACTTTTGCTGTGACCCGTTCTGACACCTGGACTTTCCTCTGGCCTTCACATGCTCTAACATTAGCCACCAGGGTCAGTTGAATCACATCAGATCTTACAGACAAACATGGAGCCTCAGTGGAGGGAACAAAAACCATCCTGGAGCTCAGTTCCTCAACTTCCCCGTTCTGGAAGCTCTTATGGTGGAGCCATGTTTGGGACTAAACGACAACAGAACAGGAAGCTGTGAACAGTTCCAGCGGGGTCTCCACACCTCGTCCCTTTTGATGTTTCTTCACATGCTCTTTGCACCTAAAAGCAGGTCCAGGGAAAGCCTGTAGCCGCTCTCACTGGGAGCACGAGGACCCGCTGGGGTTCAGGCTGGAGGTGCTCAGAGGAGCCTCAGAGATCAGGGCAAAAGAGACTGTTTCAATGTTCTTCTAAACATTTCTATACAAATATGAGCCTTATGAATTAAATCAAATAGCTGATTTGGTAGAAATGCTCTCTGTCCTCTTTTAGAGTACCAGCATAAAAGGAAGATGTGAGACAGTCGGCTGTCACATGACTCTGTAAATGTTCAGACCTATCAAAGCCTGGAGGCTTTTCCCAGGAACCGAGTTAGGACTCTGAACCGGTGCCACACAAAAAACAGTAAAGAGCTCAAACGTTATTCACATTTCTTTATTTCACTTTTTTCGCTTTCGGTGTGCTCACAGAAAAAAAACGAACACCTCGAGCATAGGAGTTTAAAAGCCACTGTTTCTGGAGGCGTTGGAGATTCCATCAAATTGATCAAAGCTTCTCCAGTATTTACAAACGAGGGAATGAAAAAGAGACGAGATGCGCCACAAAAATTAGCATCTGATAAAGTTCAGTTGGATCTGGGACCACTGGGGGGGGTAAATGGCTGTTGGAGATCAGAACAAAACATACAACAGTATAGAAACGGTTCCCTATCTCAGGTATCACAGCTTGTTTTTCCAGGTCAACAGAAGTGAGGAGGATCTGTGGGACTATGGTTTCTGTCCGTGTGTGTCTGCCTCTGGTGGTATTTTACAAAACCCAGCGGGCGAACTTTATGTGCTTCTCCAGATCAAGAATTCCTTTTATACAATAGTCACAGTTAAAAAAACACCCTGCCTATACATACTTACATTTTTATTAAGGTCAGAAAACCAAAAAAACAAACAGTATAGCCTATACAACCTGTACCCTTCTACTGAATCACCGACTGGTAAAGCTACTGACGGCTGGAAATCTGATTTTCTAAAAATCTAGCTCTGGGATTCGTCTTGTAAAAATGACTGTAAACCAATCAGATACTGGCCTCAGTTTTTCTGTTGCCAAAAGAGTCGGCGGCACATTTGCCAACTGCCCCCTACCCACAAAAACACTGCATATCTCGGGCTCGTCCATGCTACTTTCTTTATATTTTGTATAAAAATAATAAAAAATACTGATGTCAAAACACACAGCAGAGTGTGAACGTATTAAATGGGGTTAAAGCCACCCGGCGCCCCCAGTCCTGGAATGGCACATTCGGAGGACTGAGATGGGTTTTGTGAAAAGGGGGGGGGGATGGAAACCAGAAATCAAAAACACAAGAGAAAGCTTCGAAAGATCCCCAGCTTGTAGACGAGTTCAAAGCCAGCGGCTGACATGACTCCACATACAAACATGGAAAAGTCCGTTGATTATCTCTCATTTCCTCCACGTCCACCTCTCACTCGGCCGGGGCCTCCACAGAAACCGGGGCCTCCACGGATTCTGGGGCCTCTACAGAAGCTGGGGTCTCCACGGAAACCGGGGCCTCCACGGATGCGGGGGCCTCCGGTGAAGGCTCCTCTTTCTTGGGCGCCTCCTCTGAGGGTGCAGCCAGCTTCTCCTCCACCTTGGGCTCCTCTTTGACTGCGACCTCCTCCGGGGGCTTCTCAGATGTCGGGGGCCCTGCTGCCTGCTCCTCCTTGGCCTCTACCTCCTCCTTAGCCTCTACCTCCTCCTTGGCCTCCACCTCTCCGGGCTTGGCCTCCTCTCCGGGGGCCGCGGGTTCCTCCGAGCCCTCTGCCTTTTCCTGCTCTGTGGAAGCCGCCACCTCCTCCTCCTCCTTCTCCTCCACGCCGTCGCCCGTCTCCTTCTTGGTCTTCTTGAACGAAATTCCACTCAGCTTGAAGGACTTCTTGAAGGAGAACTTCTTCTTCTTCTTCTTGGGCGTCTCGGTGCTGGCGGAGGGCGCCGCGGCCTCCTCGGGCTTGTCCGCGGCCTCGGCCTCAGGCGGGGCCGGGGAAGCCTCTACCGGCTCCCCGTTGGCCGCCTCCTTCTCCCCCTGCCCGGCCTCGGGGCTCCCCTCGGCCGCGGCGGTGCCGTTGGCCTGCGGCTCCTCTTTGCCGTTCTCGGTGGCCGCGGGGGAGGCGTCTCCGTTCGCTTTCACGTGCCCGTTCTCCTGGAAAATTCAAACAAGAGGAACAGAGACTCGTCAGGGCCAGACGGAGCGCGCGCGCCCTTACGGACATTTCCGCCGGCGGACAGCAGGGGCAGCAACAGCCAGGAGTAACTATCACAACCCCCCCCTAAACCCCCACCCCTCCACCACCCCCAGGGACGGTTCTGACCCACCACCCCGACAGAAAAAAAACAAGGACCGGCCCCGCAACCTGTGACGGCAGGCTTTCATCTCCACAGCTCGCGCTCCGTCTAACGGCTATGGCGCGTGCGGCGCTCAGCTCATCTCGTTTCAATTCCGAGCTGAAATCTTCTCAATCAAGCTTCAGATAGTCCACAAACACAAATCCTCCCTCTGTCGCTTCGATATCACCTTAAAAATCACTTTCTAAAGCCACCCTGCGCCTCTCCGCGGACCAGAGCTCGTGTCGCCGCACGCATCCGCGCGCGCACAGCTGCCTAATTGAAGCAATTTGCACAATGGAGCTCGCAACTGTTGCTCGGGAAAACCCAAATCTACCCCACATTGGTTCGGCCTGGTTCGGGCCACCCTCCTCTCAGAGTGGATGTCCCCCCCCCCTCTCCCCGCTCACTTTCCGCCCTGATGGATGGAAGCAGATGCGCCCCAAAGGCGGCTTTACCTGTCCGTTGCTCTTGGCCGGGGAGGCGGCCGCCTCTCCGGGCTTCTCGGCGGCTATCTCAGCCCTCCCAGCCGTCTTGGATAAGTGCGCTCCCATGCTTCTGGCTCCAACAAAGAACCCCAACCGGCCCCGAAAAAAACCGAACAAAGACCAACAAGCCTCTTTGTTTAAAGCAGAGCTTTCGGCTCACGGGGGCCCCCCCTCCGCTCTGTCTACTCTGAACAAAGAAAAAAGTTCAATGGGAAATGGTGGACTAAAGTCCGGTGGAGGTCTGGGTTCGGCTTTCGGGGCTGCGGCGGAGAGCTGGCAGCGGAGGAGAGGTGCTGAAAGTCCCGGTCGGCGGCCGGTTCGTGGGAGACGGGCTGCAAAATGGAGAAATTCCCCCCGTTGTTAATAAGATGCGGAGTCCAACGCCCCAGCGCGGAGATGAATGGGCGCTCCGCACGATGACGGCAGCGCGCAGGGATCCAGCCAATCACAGCGGCCGCTGGCTCTGGGGGGCGTGGCTTAGATAAAGCCTTCAACAATAGACGGTAGTGCCGCGTTCAATGTACACAAGAAACAAGACCCGAACTTCTCCAAGAAAAAAAAAAACCTGTGTGTTTCAAGCACAAGTGACTCAAGTTGATCAGGAATTCAACTAGCAGCTTTTCTTTGCTCACTTGTGGTGTTTTTGTTTTATTTACAATTCGGGTTGAAGGATAGTTTGAGCTCCTTTGTTTATATTGTGTTCAGCAAACTTTTCTGGCCCACTTTTTTTTCTTTTTTGGGGTCTTTTACAAAGATTTTATTTGGCAAAGTGTCATGATTTTTTTTATTTTTTTATTTTTATTTATTTATTTATTGTGGAATAAAAACATAATAGTAATTTACAAATAGTATAGAATCTGTTCCATGTTTTTTTGTTGTTTTTTTTACATACAGTACCCAATATCTTTCATTTGTAAAGTGTCATGATTTAAGGTATGAGCAACAAATGGCGTGACAAAAGCTCAGTACAAGCTGAAAGTGCTCTCACTGATATTGAATATTGATGATCAGTTAAGTGGCAGCCGCCTTTTTTTTTCTCTCTGCCTCCTCTGGATCACTCTGTTCCAGATGTAAATATCCTAAAGGGGCGATGGAGATACAATGGAAAAACGAGAAATGTGTGCCTCCCACCCCATTAAAAACCCGTCTTTCGGGTTTTGGTGGTGCCGTGGATGTGTCTGGGCTGGTGTGGGTTGGGTTGGGGGGGTCACAACACACGGGATCTTGTTCATGACGTAAGAAGTGCCCCACGGGAGGGAGCGTTGAAACAGGTGCATCAGCCCACATTTGCAAGGCAAATCCTTTAGGGAAACTGGAGCAGACCTAAGAGAACCAGTTATCAGCAGGAGCATGTGGGCTCCGTTGGGTATTATGGGATGCCTGCTTCTAACTGTTATCCTGTTACCCCCAGGGCCAATCTCACCTAGCAGGCCAAGGCGAAAGATCCAAAGAATGGGGCTTTTCAGTTTGAATATGAGATAAACTCTCATTGTGCTGTCGTGATTAATATATGTTTTGATTTTATTCCATTTTCTAGTTATAGATATGACCAAACCCTATTTGTCAGTGTCCAGTTTCCAGCTGATGTTAAAATCGATGGGTACATTTGACAATAAACTTTTCGTTTTACTGTTTTTTAATTACCTTGATTTTATTTTCTATATATTTTGAGGGACTTTCCTCCTCATGAATTAAGGTCAGTTTGTTTGTTTTTTCTCCTGAGGAATCCTAGAAAAACATAGATGAACTTTAGTTCAGTTTATAAAAGTAGTTGGGTTCCAAATAGGACATTTTTTAAATTTTTTTTATATATATTTTTATTCAAAAAAGTACAAAGTAAGGTACATAAAAATACAGTAACATGAATTGAATTTGTTTTATCTTTTAACAACCAAACCCCACCCACCCACAATCAACAGAAAAAGAAAAAATAAATAAATAAAATAAATAAAATAGATAAAATAAATAAAATAAATAAAATAAATAAAATAAATAAAATTAAATAAAATTAAATTAAATTAAATTAAAAATTAAAAAAAGGGGGGACAACAGGGGACATTACATGTCAATAATACAACACTTGGACATCATCAGTTATATTATATATATACATACATGCACATATACACACACATATCTACATCCCAGGGCTCCATAGGCTTATGGGACATTTTTATTGGAAAGTAGCATGCCAGCTATCAAAGCCACCTTTGGGGAGCCTGAAATGTGTCTCTCCACAATCAAAAGGTCTGGTCTATCAGGCTGATTTAAGGCCTGTGGTCACCATGAAGAGAAAGACCACAATTCAGGTCAATGATACTAAATCTTATCTAAACAGCACCAAGTCACAACAAATGTCCAAAGACTGAACAAGCTCTGGACACTGTTCAGTAGCTGTGGGGAGGAGAATGGGGACCCAAATTACTCAAGAGTGACAATGGCAGAAATCCTAGGGGGTACAGCCCAGATTCAGATATCCTAGGACTGCCTAGGGCCTAGGCCTAGGCACAGGGCAGCAATTGGTCAAGCTGGTTGGAAGTCTTTAAACAAACGCATTATGACAAAGTACAGGGCAGAACCAGATTCCTGCCCACCCACCAGCCAACCCTGGTGATAAACACCCTTTCTTTAAACAAGTCCTCTGAGTGAAACGCATATTTGAAAGCATTCTGGGGAAATGAAGAAGCTTCTGTGGCGGTTTTAAACGTTGTCCTGGCTGGTTTCAGACTGTCCCGACACTCAGAAGTAGACAAAGAAACAGTGTCTGATGGCACAAGCTGGAGATTGTAAGACAGAGGGTGGAGTGGGGGGGGTTAAAGGGGGGTTCTGGGACCGTCCCAGTCACAGGGGCCTCAGGGGGTCCGAGTGGTTGAGGGTACTTTAGGTTTAAGTCTTAATCATTGTCAAAAACAGTCCGTTTTGTCCTTTTCAATGGAGAGGCTCCAAAGTTAGAACTTGTTTTCTCTTTATGAAATAAAAAAAAACAAGTTATAAAGGCTTTTCTGTTTGTATCATTTCTTTATATTTAATAGTTTATACACAAAAAATGGCCACAAGAATTGTCAAAAAGAAAACTCTTGTAAAAACTCTGATTTCTTTATACCCATCTCTCTCTCTCTCTTTACACATGTGCATATATATATATATCTTTATATAATTAGTTGGGTTCCAGCAGGACATATATATATATATATATATATATATATATATATTTTATAAATATAAGATATATTTTTATAAATATATCTGAGTTTTTACAGGAGTTATACTTTTTTTTGGGACAATTTCTGTGGCCATTTTGTTTTGTGGTCATACTTTGAAACCTCTGACTAAATCTTTTCCATTGCTCAGGATTTCGGAGTGTATTTGCTCGGGGTCAGAGCCGCTCACCTCACCGGGCCTGAGTTCTGCGCCACACAATGATGGAGCAATGTGAGCCGACCTGCACAAAACAACAGGGAGGAGCCCGCTGACCCGCCTGAATGGGACCAGAAAACGGGGGGGGGGGGAAGAGAGCCTCCTTAAAACTCAATCCATCCAAATATAAATGTTTGTCGACAGCTTTTTTTCTGCTGCCATCCCGTGGAATCTCATTAGCCGGGTTCTTTTGTGCCTTGTGGGAATAGTCTGACTCAACCCCGGCCGCAGAGACTGGAGATTTGTCCACATGCTCCACACACAAAAGAAATAGGAACCGAATACTTGGATTTGGACAAAAGCGAGGGGGGAAATCTGATCTTCTTTTCATAGAGATGAGATTTGTGTACGGGCAGAGGTAGCTGCTTCCGCTGTTGGTATAATTGCAGGTTTCTGCTCTGTGTGGTGCTCCTGGCCCTGGTCCCGGCCCCCCCCCCCCCCCCCCCCCAGGTCGAGCAGGGTGTGGCTCTGGACTCACAGATGGTGATTCAGGCCCCCTGGACGTCCAACACCTCTCTGGGCCTATCGTCCGTAATGACCTCACACTAGGAGGAGTTTCTTTCTCTCTCTTCCCTTTTTCTCTTTGTTTGTCATTTTGTATCGTCCACCTGGTTTTTATTCTGAGTTTCTGTCGGAATTCTCGCAATTCGACTCATTTAGTGCTGATGTGGAAGATTTGAACATTTATGAAGATGTTGAAAATATCAGTTTAATTTGAACAACTTGGATTTGACATTATACCAAGTCCTTTTTTCAGCATGGACACAGTCCTAAACACTCTCTGAGTCATACTCCTGATCTTCTGCTGGCTTTTATCAATAAGAATGAATAATTAACAGTATATTTTATCTGAGAATACATTTATTTACCTTTACCTACAGTATGTGTCCATCAGAAAATAAATGCTGCCCTCTGAAAAGAAGGCAATCAGTCAGCAGAACTGGCTTTAATTAAAGTAGACTACAAGAAAGTCGGAAAAATATGGTGCTCTTCCTATTTGTAACAATCTCAATCAGTTTAGAAAAACATGGAAGGAAGCTAAAAATGCTCATCGTTCCTCCCTGACAGAAGAGAAAAAGCCTAATCCCAGGTATAGTTTTAGCTCTTAGAGTCAGAGCACTTCCTGTACAGGTCAATCTGGAGGATTTTATTAGCTTCCCACAACCCACAAAATTGTTTCTGTCAGAGGGTAAATACACAAAGTCATTCCCAGTATTATCACTCAGCTTTTACCATGTACAGCAACTTTAAAAGTACCTTTGGAACCGGATTTCCAGTCTAGTTTCTGTTCGGTGGATCGGTCAGATCTAACAACAGAAGCTTCTTGGACCTGTGTTTTAGACCAAATCCCACCCAGACTTTACCAGAAAGGTTCCCTTTTGATCACGATTACAATTCTGGATCTTGTCGTAACACGTAGAGTTAAGGTTGCTGTTTTTAAGCCTTTACTAAAAAAGAAAAATCTGTTCTTAGTATGTTATCTAACCACTGTATTGGATCTCCATTGTATTTCTGTGGTGTCTGTTTGCTCCTCACATATAAAGCTCTGAATGACCAATCTCCATCATATCACATAGTTCAATATTTTCCCAGCAGAACCCTTCACTCAGACAGCAGGTCTGCTGGTGGTTTCTAGACTTTCTAAATAG